CTTGAGTGACTACCAGCCACAATTTTTGTCCGAAGTGGTCTCTAAGCGGAGCGAAATCTCCCGGTACATAACCTTACTCATATCCAACTGCGACCATTCTAAGCCTACATTGGTTTTCGCTTGTCTATGGGGACTTAGTGGTTGAAACGTCGAAGTGGGTCACCAGTTAGACGTGGAGAATGTGAATTTCAAAGGCAGTTTGTCCCTTGCGTTTACTATGAGGGTGGATTCGGTAGACGCTCAACTCATTAAACTGCGCTGAATGTTTCGGAACTGAGCAACACAGGGTGAATTCATTGATCTAAGCAGTTGGCCTATGAGGGTGGATTCGGTAGACGCTCAACCCATTAAACTGAGCTGAATTCATCGATCTAAGCAGTTGGTGCGGACTCCACATGTGCGATGCGTAATGCCCACGATAGCAGTGTCCCTATTCTTGGCGAGTTATGTTCAAGGTATGATTTCAACCGACTTCGGCACGGTGCTCCCAATTACGAGATCATCGGCGAGTGGGAAAGCTGTATGCAGGTTTTGGAATTAGCACCAGATTACTTGTAGCAAAATTTGCTGGGACTTCGTGGCTAGTTACACCAGATTACTTGTAGCAAAATTTGCTGGGTTGACTTCGTGGCTAGTTATGCAACAATTTATGCGCGACTGTGCCATTTTGAACGTTTAGATGATCCACAGTACGTATGGCCTACGAAGAAACAAGTCTACAAGTCAATATTGAAAATTCAAACTGTGAATTCTGACTGAAAGACACTGGGTGAAACCAGGTCATTTTGGATAAGGAAGAAGTAACGCCTGACTCAGGTCTTTTTAAGGATAAAGACCTGGCCTAAATCATTGCTATTATGATGCATACTGCGGTCGCACATCGAAGCCAACTGTGCATCTTGCAAAACTCCACCTTTCTCAAGGTATGTTTCTTCCTAGGCAGCACATCTGAGCTGAAATCTGGTAACCCGAATCTGTCTTACAATGATCTATTTTGACGAACGGTACCTTCCCAGTGGAACCTCTTCAAGCTCGCCATCCAAAGAGGAAGCAGAGATTTCGGCCTGAACCACCTCTCGCTGACAATTTTTCGTGAACCGTATCAATGTACACATACTGGTACTTACCAGAAGCTACCATGCATAGCTATTTGTATGTGACCTCCCTCACACCAATGCACGTAATACAAAGGCGAGGTCGAAGTTTTAATTAAATGGAAGCACTCATTGTTTTCAAATACACCAATGCTAAGTTGACGGTTCGTTTAATTCAGTTTTTTATAGTCACGATGGAGAGATCTTTGTGAATACTTATACAGGACAAAGGCAAACAAGCTATTGGAGATTTCCTGAATACTACTGTTCTGTTAACTCTCACTGACCGATATTTTAAGTAGGTATGCAGTTCAGGTGTTAGTAATGACACTGGAAATCTATTGACATTCACCACTAAGGGCAACTACATTTCGTTAGCAAACCATGTTCCGGAGTTGTTAATCTCGCCAAGACGGACCTTTTGTTACTTTATCAACTCGACTATTCTTGTTCTAACAGTCTTAAGGAAAATCGTCGGAGTGAGAGCAATTGTTGGCATCATAAATGCTAGAGATGTGAATATCGCCAGACCGTGCTGGCACTTTCAACAAAGCGACAAAGTGGGGGCCCATTAAGTAGCAGGTCTGTCTGACGAGCAAAGTCGGCTCCTGAAATCTGTTCACCATAAGACTATGTCTACATTGCTCCCAAATTTTATTGCACAGGAGCTTTCAGGTTCACTTGGAAATATCTCAGTTGCTAGTTGAGTTAATGTAGGTGGGCAGTGGTAAACGCTGGCTGTGTTGCTGAAACTCACCACAGTGCACGCTAAAAATCCCGAAGGGAAGGATAGTCACCATGCTCAACAGTGCAGTCAAGGTTAGATTAGAAAGCACTACCGACGGTTCACGGTCTAAGCAGCCGTTGACTTACTTACGCAATGGGACTAATAACCGCTTGATCGTTTGAGAACCGGCTAATTAACGAAAATGGGCCTGAGGTTGACTGAGCTTTCTGGAATCCCACTGATTTAGAACTGATTCTTTGAAAATGTCCGACGAAGTCATCAAGCTCTACAAATCACGCAGACCTACAGGAGCCCGAACGGAAATAACCCTAGGAGCCTTCAGCCTATCAAACAGTGGTTATTTCCAAACAATGAAATAAGCGGGTAGCTTTCAGAAAGATTCGATGAAAACATCGGTAGATGTATTGCTGGGAATGTTTCGCTTTCGACAGAAGACAGGGATATCTGATGTCACTCAGTGTTGAGTACGACCAACATTAGCGCCCAGTATTGAAGTGGAAAGAATGCCTCCCAGCTGATAGGACTAGGGATCATGTGTATGAAATTTACGTGTTTATATAAACAACCACCCAGGGAGCTGCATACCAGAAGTGCCGAGTAAACAGACTACTAAGAAATGTAGATAAACCTCAGGCAATAGGTGAAGGCCTGACAATGGCGGGGCATACACTGGTCAGGAAATGGATTTGAATACAGAGGTTCTGAGGAGAGGACTAAGATTCACACAAAAGCCACTGGTAACCGAGGCTAACTACCGCCAGCTTCCATCTAGCTTATAAGACTGCATGTTAGAGGTGTGGGCCCCTCAGATAATTGTGGAAGATCAACCCTAAGTCCACCTCTATGTTCCATTTTTCTTCTTTATTGGGATAATGTGACATGAAGCACCAACGTCCTGCTGTGATTGATGATAATGATGATCATACGTTCGTTGCGGAGAAGAAACTGATGTCAGCAAACGAAGAGCAAATTACAAATTTCAGATATTCTCGGGGAGCGAAACTGCCTCCCGTATTTAGTACTCAACCGACGTGCAGTAAAAATTTGGCTAAACAGTAGAAGAAAGTCGCTTTTGGGGATCCTTCCAATCTAGGTGGTAGGCTCTTAAACTCAGTCTGGTAATAGCTCCCAGTAGTGGATACTATATTCTTTATCCGCATCCGTGAGACACCTGTCCTCGGCATAGTTCCCCATCACTCAGGAGGCGATCGTAACCCCGGCAATCGACGGCATAGGAAACTATGATCGACTTGCTAGACAGATGGTGTGTTGAAGACAAATGTAACAGGAGCAACACTTCACAAGACCGGTTTTCTCACGGATTGAGTGTGCAGTTGCTAAGTTTCTTCAAAAGCTGTCTGGTTGGTAAATATCTATCAATGAAGCTCTCCGACGGGTCACTTGCAGTGTGTGGATCACACAAAAGGAAGGAGTACTGCATAGCAGGACCCTCGAAAATATGCAACTCACAAAAACGCAGATGTGATAACCTCCTGCACTGTGAGGTGAGCACATACAAAGACACAAGATTCAGTTACAAAGTGGGACCCACGTGATAGCGAAGAAACAAGAATACGGTGGATTGGAATGTATGAAGACTAAAAGTGCGCTGACTATCGATCGCGTTGATCTGAGTGGGAGGCAGTATTGTTAGCTAATCAAACCAGAACTTGGATTAATTGTGCGATACCCAGTCTAGCTGTTTGCAGTGCGGTTCAACTTACTTTGCTTCGTCATGCTGCGCTCGACAGAGTTCGTAAATAAGAGAATATAGTAGTAAATTGTGTAGATTTCAAGAAAAATGCATTCTGGCTAATACCGATGAATTGTTAAGATGGTAGTATGGAGACAATGTACGAAGCACCTGGAATTAGCTAAGAACCTTGTGTACATCACATGTAATAACCGCGGAAGGTACAATGGAGAAACTAAGTGGAGATGGGAACGAGTAGTGGTTTACCTACTGGACGTAAATGATATAACACAAGGGGTTAAGCAGGAACCACATTAGACAAAAAACCCAGGCTGAACATCAGATAATAGGGGTTAACGCTCGTGGCGAGATATATTTGAAAGCTGAACATAGATAGATAGTTATCAGAATCATATAGACCATGTGATAATCAACAAAAAGTGCTCAAGCTGACGGCTCAGACATTGAGTAACTGTTCAACTCAGAATACGCTGGACGAAAGCTGTGAAGAAGGAAGTAGAAGAGCATCATGATGAGTAAAAAACGGATTAGATGGTCAACTATCGAGAATACACAATATACGAGGGAATTTACGAGTCCCCTAATGGCTGGAAACATAGTTCACGACTCTAGTGACTAAGCTGTTTTGTGTCCTCTCTCGCACCGACAGCTAATGAGCGATTCCGAAGGGACGAGATGACTCAGCTGTTAGAACGCGAATTTACTGACCGGAAGGTTCGTAGTTCGAACCCGACATCCGCCTTTCGACTTCCCCTGCCTAGGCTTGAGCAACCTGGCAGTATCCCAGCCCTTGTGGTTCTTTTGGGTGGCATAGTATCTAGGCATTGAAAGGGTATTACAGCTGAACGGTGAGGTCAATTCATGTGGCAGACGTAGATTGCACTTGCGAGATTTTTAATTTCAACTAACATCCAACAGAACTGGGCGATAAATGTGTATTTTTTTCAGGATAGTTGGAGTGTGCAGTAGGTAAAAATAGCATAAAATATACAACAAAACAGATGAATTTCGGTGGTCTGGATGTAATCAAACGGTCGCTAATCTAAGTTTGTTTTCTTTAACTTTAAGGTGGATACTTGCATGCTCGCAGTGCAAACATGCGCCTAGATGTTACTGGCCAAAACAAGTGATTGCGCAAGAAACAGAGGAGCAAGTACAATCGGAAACAGATCGCACCAACAATTGGTACGACCTCGCGAACAGCTTCGCAACCCAAGGGCGATGGCCAATTTCCAAATCGCATAGATTGTCTATGAGTAAAACTGGTAGATGTCTTAAATCCTTGGACGTCAGTCAGTATGGTTTACCCTGACATTACATCCATAACACCTTCAAGTGCATGAACGAAGAAGACAGGGTAGTCTGAGTGGTTGGAATAATCAAATTTTAGCTTCCAGGGGGAAGCGGGCAAAATAAGAACATAAGAACCATACAACCAACACACCTTCATATGGTACCAGTCCTTGGGAATTTTCCATCCCTGCAAGGAGTTGATCCACCTCGTCCTCACGTAATCGTTCACCAAGTGCCGTCAGAAGATGTCGAAGCTCAGCGGCACTGATAAAGCCGTTCGATTCCTTGTCGAAGACACGAAATCCCTCGATAAACTCTTCAGGGTTTATATCCTTCTGTTCTTTGGCCAACGCTTGATAGATAGGAACGAACATTTCGAAAGTGATTCTCTCACCTGAAACAAAGGAGTTGGAGGAAAGATCGCAGTGGAATCAGATTTCGCTAAATAGCCTGAAGACGGAACCTGGGTAACACCCAACTGTTCAACTACCAGTGAAACCTGGATTGGCATGAAATTCCACTCACTCCTGCCGTTTGTTAATCTAACTGCACTCAGTGTACATAAGGGACGGTGATAGGTGAGGGATTACACTTCTTTACACCGATCTTTGAGATACGAGGAATATGCAGCGTTGCAAAAGCGAGAATCCATACGACTTAGGCGTACTGTGATGGTAAAACTAGCTCCAATGAAATGAAATGAAGGATAGAGCAAAAGTCATTTCACATTCTCGGCTCTTCGAGAGGGGTATGTTGGTCTCTGATGACCAAGAGCCCTTGAAAGCTCATGAAGATCTATGGCGCACATGGGGGAAATTTCCTCTAACAGCATACATATTAGGAAAAACAATCGGGCAGTAAACGAGGTCCGCAGCCTTTTGCTCTAAATGTGTTGAAGTTCTAAAGTACATGCGGTTCGGTATACAACTTAAAGAAAATGAGTCGAGTAATGCAATCAGCTTTCGAAAAATCGCAACAAAAGTAAGATAGTTTTCTACTACACCAAGAATGAGAATTTAGAACCTCAAATTCGAAGATATGAAGCGATTCCATGGATGTGAGGGAAGCTGCACGCAACGCTGACGCGTGGGCGACACGCATCATGACTTCCCTGGCAAACAGTAAAGAATGGATGAATCTGACCAACTACACTCTCAACAATATGAGTAAAACGGTCCTAAAACCTCGGTCCCACGTAGTCATGTGTATCGTTCAGACAACTGTTGAATTTGGTCGTTGGTTTGTTTGCAGAACCACACAATTTAGTTGCAAACGTTTCATAACCAATCAAGGTTGAATCGTCGGTGCGGTGTTTTGATGTAGGGCGCTTCAACATTCGCGCTCTCTTTGAAATGGATTGATAGCCACAACGATGAAATGATACACCAACAGCCAACAGAAGAAGGTGCGCGCTAACGAATGACGTACGGAAATTTAAAAGGTAGCAGGGATGGATCCCCGTCACCTTATGGGGCGCAATCGGATGTTAAGAGATTAGAAGTGCTCATTCAAACAGATGCCAAATACTGCATGCAAGACTGTGAAACCATAAAGCCAGTTTATCCTATTGCGAGAATCCGTCATCGTGAAGTAAAATACTGGTGAATAGTTCGCTCCCATCAGTCAGTACAGTACGCGTCTTCTTCTTTATAAAACTACTCATCCACACCGTTGATTCCCTAAACAGAGCAAAACAAGAAAGACAGATGCTGCTAAGAGACCTCTCGTGTAAAGTTAGCCAACTCGTGAAGAGTAAAAGTGATCTTTCCGACATTTCTTCGTATGGCTCAAATATCCACTGAAGGGATATAATCGAAAACAGCCAGTGAATGTCTACTCGAGAGAGGAGAATACCCTCAGAAGGCTCACTGAGTTGAGGAAAACGAAGAAACACAAAGGCATCAAGAACCCTAAAAACTTTGTAGCGAAAGTGTTTTGAGGTGTCACACTGGGGATCATGTCCCGTTTCTGCCCACATAGACAAATCGAATCGAAAACGACGGACCTTGTTGGTTTTTACACCACATGTTTAATTTTTTCTGTTGCAAAGAAAGCTCAATTCAGCGAGGGTGGCCCTGAAGTCACGTGTGCAGTCGCCATACATAAAGTGGGTACGCTTGAAAAACGATAGGCCACATTCTGTTGGCCAGAAATAACTACACACAGCGTTCACAATGCTTATGAAAAACATACAGCGAAAATACTGAATGTACCAGCCTACACTCAAGAACGGAATGGATTCGCAGTGCATAGTGCTAGCTAGGTTTGGAGAAATTTCAGATACAGTGTGCGTTTCAGTGAGCAGTCGAGCACATTAGTCCTGCTGACGGAATACATAATCAATTCTGGCGAAAACGCGGTAGACAATCCATCTGATGGTGACCTTTTTTGTTGTCGAGTGAAACCCATCGGGCCTGCTCAGAAATGTTCGCACCATTTTTTCGATAGAATTGGACAACGAGGCAAGTCAGAAAATTGAGTCAGCAGGAATAACACCATAACTTTCGCCCTCATGAAAGTACACGGTGGACATACTTTGGGAACCTTCAGAACATTCACTAATATATCGTCCATTCCTTGAATAATTATTTCAATGTATCCATGGACGTTCCCTATAACTGACTCCACCGACATGACAGACGGAAGTCCTCAGAAATGTGACTTATTTTTAAAGCGGAAGATGAGTCGAAGAGGGATCCAAATGAAAAGGATGAAAAAGAAATATGTGGACTTATAACCAGTGTCCAGGGTGTTTCTGGAAGGTGATGGAGGAAACCCGCACACAACTCATAAACATGACTGCACGTAACCGAAAATTCCGAATGAAAACGAAGGATGTCCGCCGTGTTGGAAAGGTAAAGAACTGCTCGTTCGTTTGTTGAGCGTCACAAGCGTCCCCTCTGGTCATTTATAATTCACTTTCTGGTGGGAACATTTAAGGTATACCAGAAAACATTTAGGATAGAAAACTCTCATTTACGAGTCTTTTGGAACGAGCAACTTGTGTAAATGGTTCTCTGGTATATATGAATTGGAAAGAAAGAGAGGAGCTGTAATACAGAAGTACCCAGCCAATTATAAATGGCCTGTCTTTTACTCAACATTCAACGTCATTTAACGTCCAATGGGTGGTTGATTCCAAGCACTTCATCCACACATACATGAACTGTTCGTTCCAGGAGACTATTAAATCAGTTTGTGTTAAAAAAGCTATGGTATACTTAAATTATTGCCTCCAGGAATGGTACTACTTGCTGGGGAGTCGGAGCGATCCAGCCTTCCTCAATATGAATCGAGTTAGAAGACACAGGGTACGTTAAAGCAAAAAAAGTGCAGCCAGTTTGGATCAAAGGCCACAATGAAAGGTCAAACCTACCGGGATCATTACGGTTATTAAACTTCCGTATGTCTGATTCTGTAGGATTTAGGCCTAACGCACGAACGACTTCGCCGATATCTTTCACAAGAATTTTTTCGTCTCCTACTGAATCGAAGAGTGAAAACACATCACGAGCCTCTAAAAAACCATGAATTCTGACGAACACATTTACCTTGAAGGTCTTTCTCGTTCAGCTCATACTGAAACAGAGTAAGCAACTATGAAGAAGTAGCATAACGTACCATGGTGAATGCGCGCTGTAGATCTATTGGCAGGACTTCACGAACACCGCTAAAATTGGAAGACAGGTTCGGAAAAGTTAGCTAGAACTAAATAACGCGAACACTAAATAAACTGGCATTGTACCTAGCAAGGACCTAGTCCTAATACGGAATTAACAAACACTCTGGCGTCATCAGCAGCAGCATTACATCGGTGTTGAACATTTGTGCTTCACTGCCGTACACTACTATAGTAGCTAATCGGATTAGTGCTTGTGATATACATCGATCGGAAAAAGGCGAACAAGGAATAAGCCAGAAAACCTGTGGCCAAATTTGGCAGAGTACGGATGTTGAAAACAGTAGCATGGAACAGATCCACTGAAGTTGTTTTATTTCACTGGATAGAAGCCTAGATACAGAACAACGACTAAAGCATTGACAGCTAAGTGAATCAGGAATTCGGTAAGAGAAGTCAGACGAACAGTCGGTGAACGAAGAACTGTGAGGTCGATTGATACTGTCCGATCGCCCAAGCCGAAGGTGTTTTGGTTGATCCAATTAAATCCAGTCTATTTGCGCTCGGTGGCCATCAGGTTAGGCTATGTGAGCGCTTACGTCAAAAATTCGCAGTAGCCAGAAACAGGTGATGATCAGAACACAACTGGAGTCGCTTTCCCTTGTTTGGGCGATGAACATCGACTCTAAATCAACCGCTCGGTTCCACCTGCAAGGAGCTAACATGACCGACTTGCGCATTCACATCATCCCGCAAGGATGATGCTTCTTGCTTGAATGGGTCCGGGTACATGTCGGTAGAAAGCATACTTCTCAGTTTCAGAACTGCAGTCCGTTGAGGCGTAAGCCGATTTTACAAACAGGCACCGATTTTCATGTTCAGCAGCACTCAGCCTGATTGAGCTGGATAACGGAACGCCACAAAGACGGCCGTTTACAGGAATCCAATCCAGCACGGCGCTTTCAGCTATGGGACTGAGTTCAACTCCCCCACCATATAGTCCACAAGCCATCGATTCTGAATCACCACACACATAAAGTGTAAAATGTAAAACAACTGATTTTGTCCTTACCGTTTTAAGATGCATCACCACGCGTGGGGGTTGAATATGTGTTTTAGATACACAACATACATTAACTTTAAGGGATTATAAGGTCTAGGCAAGTAGTGTCTGTTTGTCAATTTCGCAAAGTGTTTACCTGTAGCAACATATCGGTGTCTAGCTGCCCTGTCATAGGAGGGAGGCATGAGGGCAGGGATAGTACTGGGTCGCCCAAGTCCAGACAGGAGCAATTCAGATATTGCGGTTAAGTCCGAACCACGCACCTTCCGGTCTGTAAACTGGCACTTTAATCACCGAACTATTCTACAGACGGTCGTTGGAAGCTCCTATGCAGAGGTGTTCCCATGGGCTTGGTAAAAAGGTATTTGACATCGCACATCGGCCAGAAAACTACCAATCAAATGGTACAGCGACGTTTGCTTGTATGGTTGTGTCGGGCTGAGGAGGGAAACCGGTGGGCGAACTGTTTGGACAGATGGTAATTCCCGAATGCCTAGGTGGAGGAAGAACGTTTAGTTGAGGAACCAATCTTGGGCCTTTAAATTAGAAGCCTGACCCGCGAGGCAGCGGGAAGTAGGGTTATCCCTGAAAACTGTTGGGCAGGAATCCACGCGGATCCCACTATACCGCACGTCTTTAGGCGCTGCTACGGCCGAGAAGCCTGGCCCGCTCGAGGTTGGCCCAGAATTCGGGACGCTTGCCGGTCCGGCATCAAGACGAGATCTGATTGGTCAACAATCTGGACCCAACAGCCAATCATGACCAAGTATTGGCCAAATGCCGGTTGCCAATGGAGCTCCAGAACGCGTCAGAAATTCCAGAAAGTTATAGCCGCTTACGCTATATATACGAAGCGCTGTACAACTGTTCCTGATTTCGTTTTGGGCGCTAATAGACCTTTTGCACCTTTGGTGTTTGTTTTGACGTGAACGCTAGCTTGGGAGGCTCAGACTGAGAACTAAGCCGAGGAAAATACCGTTACTATAATAAGGCATGATCAGAGTCCCCACAGGTGTTCATCAAGTTGATTGCGCCTCCGTGCCACTGACACGCACTGATGGTGACGTTTCGCCCTTTCATACTGCAACCTAAAGTCAATCTATGCTGAACATCCGTGAAACTTCCCTGTTCTCGGTATAATCAACAGTTCTGGGGTCCCACGAATCTCGAGGATGCCTAGAATCCTTTCGGATAGTATGTGAACATTTCGTCAATCAGCCATGGTTGACCGATCAGTAGTGGGATTTTCTCGCCCCTGGACAGGACATACCACATTTCGGATACCTTATCTGATGTGTATGTGTTTATTCCAAGTGAGAACGAAACGGATGCTCGATACTTCTCGGCTCTTCGACCTTGCTCGCAAGGAAATTGATCATTTTATTACTCGCAGTGTCTGGAGACGATTCGTCTCAAACCATCGAACATTACATCGATTGGATGGATGTGTCACGAACCGTTATGGCCAGGATATCCACCAATCAGAATTGAGCATTTTTAGCTCGGTACTTCTCTCCCCCTCACGAAGATTCCGGCTGATTCCTGTGGGACATTCTTTGATAACCCAATAAATATAGTTGAAATAGTTTTCCTCTTTCTCGATAAAGGTCTGCCTCAAGCTTTTGTTCATTTTGAGACGAGTTGCACCACCGTCTTCAGTACACAACACAAAGTGGCCACGCTGTTGATGTGGGACTGGGAATGGCTTCTTGTTTGAAGTTCCCAGTCAAGACTACTATCATACTCTACCTTGAGGTTGACGAAACGGTACGCACGACAACCACAGTGTTTATGTTTTTCATCTACGCCTGAAATCCATTAGTACGTAACCAGCCACCACGAGTAAGCAGCCTCTCGAACGATGCTAGTTGGAGAATTCAAGTACGGCGGTCATCACAACCAATCAGACCTGAGTGATGGTCACATTCAGAGTATGGTCGTATTTTGTGATGGCGCACAAATGGGGTCGTAGTTGCCGTCCGACTTTCGATTTGGGCACGTGACTGCTTTCGTAGTACACCCCGTTTAGAGCATCGAACTGTTGTTTCCACGACTAATATGTAGCCAAGTGTGATATACCAGGTATTCCTTGGCTATCTGCTGTTTTTTTATGATTGACCGGAAACCATCCATGGATTTTAGGATCAGTGTATGTGTCAGCTTGTATTATTCGGTCTTCTTCTTTGTCCCATACGGATGATACCGTTCACTTTTGATTCCCGGGGCGAGATGGCCCAAGTGGTTAGAGCCCGAATTTACTGACCGGAAGGTCCGTGGTTCGAATCCGACCTCCGCCACTCGACTTCCCCTGTCTAGGCTTGGGCAACCTGGCAGTATCCCAGCCCTCGTGCTTCCTTCGGGTGGCATGGCAGCTAGGCACCGGAAGGGTGCTACA